CTCACATTTGTTTGCCTGGCCTGGAGATTCAGGGGAGCCCAGCCATTTCCTGGCACAGCGCCTCATTCTCGGAGACCTGGCAAGCCTCATCTTCATCAACACCATGAGCACTCCATGGACAGCTCCTTGCAGAGTACAAGTGGGAATAAAATATGCCACTTCAAAGAAGCTTACAGTCCAACCTCTCACGCCAGTGCCATAACCGAGGAAATGGAGATGGGCAATGATTTGGAGATGAGCGTACATTAAAATTCATGTGGATCGATGCCAGGGATAAATGGCAAAAATACACTGGTACTGCAAAATCTGATGCTTGAGGGCAGTGGCTGCCTCTGAGGGCCTATGAGAACGAACAGTCTGTGTTTTAAATCACTGCTTTGCTCCTGATATACCCGCAAAAGATGTTGGGGCAGACTGCAATATTACAGTATTTGCCTTCTTGTTGTGGATTTGCCTTCTTGTTGTGATTATTGATTCATAACGAAACGAACAGTCTGTGTTTTAAATCACTGCTTTGTTCCTGATATACCCGCAAAAGATGTGGGGGCAGACTGCAATATTACAGTATCCATAGGATTTGCCTTCCTGTTATTATTGATTCGATAAACCAAGTAATGTTGCAACCATAATGTGCAACATTTGAACTGATTGGGCAAATGTATAGCTGATTTACTTGTGGAGATGCATCAACAGTCTGTGTTTTAAATCACTGCTTTGTTCCTGATATACCCGCAAAAGATGTGGGGGCAGACTGCAATATTACAGTATCCATAGGATTTGCCTTCCTGTTATTATTGATTCGATAAACCAAGTAATGTTGCAACCATAATGTGCAACATTTGAACTGATTGGGCAAATGTATAGCTGATTTACTTGTGGAGATGCATCTCAAATACTAAGAATTAACTAAATCAAAATAAGAGATGTGTGATAAAAGGAAATAATGGACATAAGAAAGGATACTTTAGGCATGAATTACGGTAATCAAACATAAATGAGACTGTTTATATACTGCACTGCATCTCAGACATGTATGTTTGGCTTTTCCCCTTCCCATGGGAATCAGTTGCCAGTGGCACAGAATTATGGATAAGTTGTCAGTGTCACAGCAGAGGCACACTGTATGAACTGCAGCTTCTTATAGAGCAGGACTAAAGAACCTCTACAGCAGTGGTCCCCAACCTTTTCCGACCTGTGGACCGGTTGGGGGTGGGGGGTCCGCTTGCGGGGGGCAGAGCACTTTTGTGCGCATGTGTGGATGGTGCAGGTGTGCTCATGGGGACAGGGCACTCACGTGTATGTGTGGATGGCACGGGGCACGCCTGCAGTGGGACGGGGCACAGTCACGCACATGCGTGGGGTGCACTTGCTGGGATGGGGCGTGCTCACACATGCGCGGATAGCGCAGGGTATGCTCACAGGGGACAGGGCGTGCTCTGGGGGGGCACCCATGCGGACTAAATTTAGTTTCAGAGAAGTTCTGTGGTGGGGTGGAGACTGCATTCCTTGGTAGTGGTCCAAGGAGGAAAGAAGAGTATTAAAAATACCAATACAACTTAAATCCATTAATGCCACTAACAAAATCTCAGGAGAGCAGTTTCAGCCATGAAAACATGGAAGCGAATATGGCAATCTGAAGCACATTATATATGAAATATCACTGATATTTCCCTGTGCTGTAACTCAGTATAGGTCCTTTCCGCACTTTCCTGCTTCTGCGTGCCCTGGGTTCTATATATCAATGGTGGCAGAGATGAGTTGGCCTCTTGATTATAATGTGTCCAGGATAATTATCTCATCTGCTGTACTACTAAAGCCTAAATTGAGAGCCCAGCTTTATCCTGAAAAGACGTCAGATTCTTTAACACATGTGCAGGCCGTCTATACACCACCAGGGATTCACGCACCAAACTCACATCAGACCTAGCCAGCACAGCATACGCTGAAGGTTGATGGGAATTGCTGTCCAGTAAACTCAGGAGAGCCACAAGTCGCCTAACTATTAACATTTCATTTGTAGCAGTCTTGTGACTTATCTGTTTTACTTGGCATACACTTTAGTGGAGGAGAGCCTGCTTCATCCAATAGCATTAGGTGAAAGTTCACAAAAGCTTATGCCAAATAAAGTGTGGCACTCTTAAGGGCAGCATAAGGGAGAACCTTTCTTGTTTTTGAGGCAGCTAGCTCCCAGGGCTACACCCAGAAAAAATCATGCAGGCCAGTATTGGTTTTTTTTTAAATAAAAATAATTATCAAAACTTTTTTTTTAAAAAAGATTCCACTTATATTAACTAAGGAAGAACTCATATACATTTAAATGGAATCGTCCTATCCTCTGCCGCCCCTCATGCCTCCTCTAACATGCCCCGCGCCCTCCGGCGGCTCCTTCTTGGCAAAGCCGGGCCGAAACTCCCATCGACGCAGCCTTACGTTTTCCTCCTTCGAACTACCCGCTCTTTTTTTTGTTCATTATCCAACCAGAGGAGAGGAAATGGACTGCCAATCATGGGGGAGGGACGTCCCAGGATCCCACCCTTTTCCCCGCCCCTCTCTAAAACACCCTGCCTTACAGTACCTCCTCCTTGCTGCGCCGCCCGGACGCATGCGCAACCGGCCCTGCGCGGCCTGGGTGACGTAAGCTGGAGGGGAGGGGGGGTCCGGTTCAGTTGGTTCGCGCGTTTGTTTTGGCCGCGGAAAGCGTCGGAGGCCTCCCCCCGCTGCGCGCGTGCGCGGGGCGGGGTCGAGGCAGGCGCCTCCTCAGAGAGAGAGAGAGAGCGTCGCGGAGGCTCCATGAGCAGGCGCTGTCTACCTGCCGCCTCCTCCGTCCTGAGGGGACTCGTCGGCTCCGCTTTCCTCTGCCTCTCGCGGACCATGAGTTTGCGGGGCGGCCCCACCGCCTGTCTGTCGGGGCCCTCGGGCGGCAGCGGGCCTTTGTCGTCGCCGCCGCCGCCGCCTTCCCCGCGGCTGAGCCTGCCGTGGCTGCGGTTGCCGGAGGTGCCGGGCGCCGAGCCCTTCAAAGCCAACGACGTCCTCCTGCTCCTGCCCCCTTCGGCCCCGCCACCGGGCCCCCCTCAGCATCATGTCCTCTATTTCCCGGGGGACGTGCAGGTAAGAGAGCCGGGTGTGAAAGGGCTGTTGAAACCGGTGTGTGTGTGTGGGGGGGGGGCTTTCCTTCCTTCCTCCTTGAACGCGCCTCATGCAGGAATCCTTGCACACCCTCCCCCGGGCATCTGCCCCATGTTTTCCAGAGGCCATTGCTTTCCCATAGGCGTGCATGGAATTGCTTTGGTGAAAAAGACTTCATTTATTATTATTGCTTTGTAAAAAGAGCTTGCAATAAAACAACCAGACGCCGGGGATGAAAAAGCGGAAAATTTTAAAAGGAATCTTAAAAGAGCTCTCTGGTCACTTTTCTTTAAGCGTTCTTCTCAAGGGACTCTTACTCCTGTTGGGGGAGAGAGGGTGCAAAATCCAGACACGTGTCAAGGAAAGAGCCTGTCGTTCCCACGTTAGGCCCTGCTTTTCAGCACATTCCTGTCCTGTTACCCCCACAACTCTCAAGGTTCACCTTCTGTTGAAGCGGCTGAGGAAATTAAACATCCTTCTAAAACTCTTCTATACAGTATTTTCATTGTACATGTAAGATTTGTGTTCTGTGTATCTTTTTTTCCCTTACAAACATGTCCTTGTCTGCCTTTGCAGTCTGCTTGAATAAGGCTACAAGGTGGTGGAATCCAGAATATTAATGAAAGTACAGGTATAAGCATCAAACGTGGCTGCTGGTCAGCCCTTGAATTATCTTGCTGGTGTCAACTATGGAGTAAAACTGGCACATGGCAGTATTTCCTTCTTTCATTGCCCCTCGGTTCATTTTCCTTGCAGAAAGAGTGATATTGCTACCTCTGGGGAGTGACTTCTCAGCATGTGTCTGTAGGAAGCAGAGTTTACACCAGGGATTACCAAATATTAGGCAAATATGTCTTTGAAGTCCCAGAAGCCTTGAACACCACAGGCAGTAACCAGGGCTTCTGAGATTTCGGGTCCAAGAACATATGGGGCCAAGTTTGGGAATCAGTCTTTTCTCAACTCTAGCAACAGTTGAGCACTATTAAACATGCAGAAGTTGATTGAAACCAACGCAAGGTTTAGTTTGCAAAGGTGAACAGTGTGAAGGTAGACAAGATTCATTAATTCCTCCCCCCCATAAGCTTGTTTTTAAAGTTTTAAATGTTTTAAATCATTCAGTGTATTTTAATTACAGTACTATTATAATACTGTATTATTAATCTTTTAACACTGTGAGTGACCTTGAGGTCCTCCCAGTTGGGAGGAAGGGGGCCTATAAACAAGAGAAATGGATAAATAAATGAGCAAACACACTAAGGTTCCCTTTGGCACTGTTGCTTGTGGTATCCAACTAAAGTTTATCTAGTCAAGCACTTTGTGGCCAGCCAAATACCCTTTGGAAGTTCATCGATCATAGTCTTGGTGAGCATTCATTTTCCATTCATTTATCATGATCAGTGATGTATCTAGGTTGTAGTAATTTTTTAATTCTTAAATTTTCTCTTACTGCTAAGTCAGCTTTTTTGTTTATAATATTTATAATTTTATAAACCTTGGCTCTTGAAGTCATTTCTATCTGCTAAACTCTTGGTCCTGAAAAGCTTGGGATTTTACCTTTTTTTTTAACCCTTAAGCTTATTATCCACCAGATAAACTTCATTATAGGAAAGAAACTGAACATTTCAATCTAATATGAAAGAGGCAGAAGGTTTGAGTTTTCTTTCAAATAAAAGTGTGTGTGTGTGTGTGTGTGTGTGTGTGTGTAATTCTATGTTGCTCTGGTTATCCACTTGTGTGTTGTTCTAAAATTTTGTTAGTATCAAATAGCAATAAGCACATTTTGTAAATGGGCATGACTTAACATGTTTCTCAGCAGTTTGCTATTAAATAATAAGATTCTGTATCACTTGTCTAATTTCAGAGCTATCGTGAAGTTATGATTTGCCATCCAGAAAACTTTCAGTGGGAACAGTGGTGCTTAGAAAATGTTGCTGCTCTACTTGGTCGTCGTTTCCCAGGCAGTTACATTTGGGTTATAAAATGTTCCCGTATGCATTTGCACAAATTCAGCTGCTATGACAATTTTGTTGCGAGTAATCTGTTTGGAGCACCTGAACACTGCAGTGACTTTGGAGCCTTCAAACACCTTCATGCGTTATTGGTTAATGCATTTAAACTTGCTCAGAACATTCTACTGTCTCAGAAGAGGAAGTATGAGTTCCCCAAGGATACAAAGGTAGTTTCCTGTGAATTGCCTTCTGTAGCTGCTACTAATGGATGTCCAGAAACGGAGAGTGACTGTGAACATTTCAACAATACTTCTGTGAATTTTATTGAGCCTACTGTTGTTGATGAAGTGTCATTTACGTTAATAGGATTCAGTAAAGGCTGTGTTGTCTTGAATCAGTTGCTTTACGAACTGAAGGAAGCAAAAAAGGACAAGAACATAAATGCCTTCATAAAAAACATAAGAGCAATCTATTGGCTGGATGGTGGTCATTCTGGAGGAAGCAACACATGGGTAACCTACCCTGATGTACTTAAAGATTTTGCTGAGACTGGGATTTCAGCACATGCTCATGTAACACCATACCAGGTATTTGACATGATGAGGGCATGGATTGGAAGAGAGCACAAGAGATTTGTACAAATCCTTGAGGAGCTTGGTGTGAATGTGAATAGTCAGCTTCACTTTGCTGATGAGGCACCTTCCTTAGACAATCACTTCAGAGTTCATGAAGTATTCTGACCCTGTTGCAAAACAAAGTATTGCAGTAACTACAAAAATGAATATTAAACATGAGTAATTTGAAAGTGTGGTTTTCTCTGAAGTTGTGGAAGGGTAGATGCTCCCATGTGTGGTTATGATTGCTTTTTCAGACATCTGTTAAAGCTCAACCTTGTCTTGGTTTTGCAGCTAAAGAGCAACAGGAAATCAGTAGTTCAGATATAAGTCCTTTTCTGATTAAAACTGACCTTTGAGAAAAGCAAGAGTCATTCACAGAAACTAATGTCAGATGGAAAACTTACTTAACATTTGTTTTACCTGTATGGGTTTTTGTGGTCAAAGGTTTGAGACTCAAGCTACAAAATAGCATCCTGAAATGCTTCTAATGACTTATGATTGTCTTATTTGTTAAATATTTCAGAATAATACATCCTTTTGTTTAGAATTATTTAGTCAAGAACTTTAGATTGCATTGTTTTAGCACTTTGATATAGCACAAGCAACGCAGCAAGTTGGCTGTATTGAGACAGCTTAAGTCTTCAATGCAAGTGAAATCACACTTTCCTTGGAAAATACAGTGCATAACTACTATACTGTTGCATCACCAGTGCTCTGCAGTTTCCACCCAGTTTCTGACACCTATGTTCTTTTGACATTTTAAAAAAATCTTTTTTATGTGACCAAGAATGTATAAGCTTACTTCTAGTTCAACATTCCCTTTTAATAACTGCAGATTAAATGACTGCTAATACTTTTGCTGACTTATATCTTGAGACTGTTAAACTCTGTATCAATTGTGGTAAAAAGGTTTTTGGAAAAGTTAAACACTCAATGATTACCAGTTGGTAACGGAGGAACTCCAAGAAATAATGGTCTATAAAGCAACAGCTTCTGAGAGTGAAAAACAACCTTGATGTATATTTAGTTTTTAAAAACCCTATAACTAAAATTACTGTAGAAGCATTCACTAATGAGTCTGAAGAATACTTTTATAAATTTTGTAACTCGGTATTTGGAAATAGTATATAAAATGGAATTGTCTAAACTTAGAGTTATTGTGCATTTGTAAGAAATTGCAAGATGTACAGAATTCTCAGAAAACCTATGTAGGATGTTCGACTCTAAACTGTGGAGAGATGATAGAACCAAAATCAACAATGAAACTTGTATCTCCTCATAGGTTTCCTATGAGTTGTATTGGGGGGATGACTTTGCCTCAGTGCTTGTTTTCACCAGTCACCCCATTTACTACTGTTCTTCACACCGTATTCTGTTCCATTCTAGAGGATTCCAAAACTCTCAGGAACAGCTTTCCTGAAGGAATGGGAGACTTAAGTGTGTAGGAACCAGTGAAAGTCAGATGCCTTGACTTGCAAGAGCAGCAGTAGTTCCTACTTGCAGTGGAGCATATGCACTACAGTATATAAGTTTTTAGGATGACTAATTAGGCTGTGTAAGTGTTTCAGTATTTCAGTTATGGTATTCCAAAGAGAGGAAGTAATTTTGATGCTTTAGTAAAAATGTGTCTATCCATGTGAACATTAGTCCTAATCTAATGCCCCCTCTTTGGCACTTGAAAGTCTGCTTTTTGGCCCTTCTTTTTAGTTCCTAGATATCTGCAAAGGGTAGTGCACATTAAAATACTTGAGGAGACCAACCTATATGGATGCTGCTTAAGGATGCCTCCCAAGTGTGCAGAGATACGTGGAACAGGATAGAGTAGCCAGGATGCTGATATGCATTATTGAATATTGTAACTCACACATTCCAGTCAAATATTTCTGTTAACAGTTTGAGTGGCACATGGTTAATAAGCTGAGGTTGGAGTTTCTAAAGGCTTTTCATTTTAACACTTATTTCATAAAATAATTAAAACCTATCTCTACCATGGAATTGTGGAATGTTTCCTTATCAACCTTGTGACCAAAATACCCTGCTTTTAGCAGTTACAATTATAGGATCAATTTGAAAACAACAGTTGGTTGGCCAGAACAATGGGCGAGTTTTATTGTCTGGGGACATATTTAAGTTCCTAATAAAGAATGAGATTGTACATCATCTGTCCAAGGATGCAATGTCATCAGGCAGTAGAGTGGATTCTGTTTCACTCTGCTAGCCACTCCACGCCCCAAGTATGCAGTGCTGGAGGGTGTGGAGTCAGTAGGAGAATGGGTGGACTCAAAAGACTTGTAAACATTGGATGTAGCATCATAACTGTTTAAGTGTATAGAGTTTAAACTTTGTATTTTTTGTGCCACTGAGTTAAGTCTTTGGGGTGGCGTACAGAAACTGCTGCTGGCCTTTGAATGCTGCTTTTATGAAGAAGCACTTTAGTTTTTCTTGCAGTAGATATTTTAGAAAGTTCCTTTTACAACCCCCCTCCCCCTATCTAGGAGTTAGCTGGCTACTGTATTTGATATTTTGGGATAATTGGAGGTCTTTAGAACTATGCTTCTTTTCATTAGTGTATATGAGAAACATGCAGAAAAATAACTTGGAAACTAGATTATGGTTTGACAATAAACATCTGATCTTTGCCAAATTGTTCAGAGTACATTTTGTGGTGCTTTCTGATATTTTGATTGCAAAAGCGTTCAAGGTCAACATCTGCATGTAATTTTTGTGTCTTGAAAGAAAAGAACCTTAGTATTGAAACAAGCCCACTGCTTATTGCATTAGTGGTTCTGATGGTTTATTAAGCTCATGGTTATGGGGCAGCATTGTGAAAATGCTGCCTTGTCAGTACTGGTGTTCTCAGCAAATGCCTCTCCAAACTTCTGTGATGGAAAACTGAAGCTGCATACTGTACACTGTTTAAGGGGAAATAACCAAAGCATGTTCAGACCTTGAAACATTCCCTTCAGCAAAGATCTAATACATATAGTGTACAGTAAAGGTGAATTCTTTTTCATTATTTGGAAGGCTAGCATTATCTTTTCATGCTCCAAGATCCTATGGTCTCTAAATTACTACTGTTGACAAAAGACTGTCATGCAATAATATTTTCAGTGTCGGAAGACCATGTTTTCCCCTCACAACTCTTCTTAGTGCTGGCAGCAGCACCTTAATTAGTATTGTACACATCATCTCACAAACCCACTGCTCTTGAAAAGTTGCTTTGTGAAGTGCTCCCTTGGAAAGGAATTGGGTGAATGCATGTAAACAAAACCTTCACTTACATTGGCTGTGTCTTATATTGAGAATATTGTTTCTAAAGTAGTCAGCTGCCTGGAAATACTGTGCAAGTGTAAAGCTGCGTGTTATATACCGTATTTTTCCGTGTATAAGATGACCCAAAGTATAAGACGAACCCCCTTTTTTCTAACCCCAAATTTTAAAAAGGGATCAAAGGGCTCCCTTTTTGCTAAGCTCCGTACATTGGCAAAAGGCAAGGAAAGCAGCTGTCAAAGTCCCTGCCACTTTTCCTCACCTTTTGAGAAGGTATGGAGCTTTAGCAAAAAAGGAAGGGGAGCCGTTGCTCCCTTTTTGCTAACGAGGCAGGAAGAGGCGCCCGAGCATGCACGACTGCTTGCTTGCCTTCACCTCTGCTTCCTGCTGCCTCCACCATGGAGGGGACAAGGCAATGGTGATCAGGCAAGCAGGGGGAGGCAGCAGCAAGAGGCGCCCAAGCGCATGTGAATGCTCTTTTGCCTCTGCCTCCTGCTGCCTCCAACACTGGAGGGGACAAGGCAGGACTGAGCTGAGCCCGACAGTCTCGCTAGAGGTGGTGATCAGGCGGGCGAGGGAAGGCAGCAGCAAGAGGCACCGGAGCCCGTGTGAAAGCTCCTTTGCCTCCATCTCTGCCTCCTCCTGCTGCCTCGGCCACCGGAGGGGACAAGCCATGAGCTCTGGAAGAGGGAATTGGGCAACAGTGGCGGCAGCAAGAAGTGCCCGAGCGCGCAACTGCTTCCTTCCGTGTATAAAATGACCCTCAATGCTTCCTCTAATTATTTTAGGAAAAAATGTCATTTTATACACAAAAAAATACAGTAGTAGTTCACACACATCAGTTGAGGAATGAGTATGTTCAGGGAACTCTTAAATGGGTCCACCACCCTATCTAAGGAGATGTAATGGTCCTGTGTTGTCACTACAGCTTAACTTTAAAACTTCCCAAGAACCCATTTCCTGATAACATGTTTAGCAAAATTCTGTTAGATTTTCATTTTGGCAGTTAAGATTTGGCTTTCATTATTGTCTTAATTGTTGAGTTCAAGGGCCAGTCAGTTGGTGCATTGGTTAGCTAATGAAATCAAAGACTAAAATGTCCAATTCTATAAATTGAAATTGAGGGCTTAAAGACATTTAACTATAATTATCAGGAAATACTTCCAAAACATTATTTTTAAAACGGGGGGGGGGGGAAGGAATAGCCAGTGCAAGAGACAAGCACTTAGAACAGTGGTTCCCACCCTTAGGTAACCTAGGTGTTCTTGGATTACAGTTCCAGAAGCCTTTGACCCCAGCTGTGCTGGTCAAGGTCCAAGAACATCTGGATTGCCCAAGGTTGGGAATCACTGCCTTAGAGGAATGTGACACAAAGCAGAGCCACTGATGTCTGCGGCTACACGAAATCTGTTAAGGCCCTTCCCTTGGGCAGCAAATGTTAGCCACTGGACCAGTGATAACTCTCACAGGATTGTGGTCCAGTGGAAGATACAGTTGTTATAAGCTTCAGGGAACACAGAAGTTGCAATAGATGTTTCAGTTGATGGAAGCATTCCTGCCACTTTCATGAGAAAGGGAGGAAGCAACATACTGGTACAAGGTGACTTCATCCTGAGGACCGAAGCAAGAGCTTGCAGATCTGACATGAAATCTTGGGAAGTGTGCTGTCTTTCTGGTGTGAAGATCCAGGACATGACCGAGTTTGCAAGAGTTATCAAACTCACTGACCATTATTCCTTTCTAGTGATCCACAATGGAACAAATAATACAGCTGCACACAGCTTTCAACATATTGTAAGCAATTGCAAAGCTCTGGCTTGGAAGGTGAAGCACCAGCAGTGTTTTCATTATTCCTTCCTGTTAAAGGTTGAGGCCCAGGGAGAAAAGAACAATGGGCTTGAAGAGGTGGTACAAGTGGTTTCATTGCAAAACATTTGAGAACTGGTTTGAGCTTCTATGGAGGAGACTCCTGGCAAGAAATCAGTTGCACCTCATGGGCTGAATGTTTTTGCCAGGAGTTTTGAAGACCTAGTCAGGAGGGCTTTAAATCAAAGTGGATTTTAAAAAATCATTATTTATTTAAAGTGATTTTATGCGATTTTTTAATAAAAAATTAAATCTGATTTTTTTTTTAATATGATGCTTTTTGAGGAAAAAAAATCTAAAGATAGTTTTCTGCTTGAGATGTATTACAGCCCCAAAGTTTTTCATCATAAAGCCAACTGCTTCACAAAAACATTAAAGAATGCTCATGTTCATTTAAAAGCAAACACGGTTGCAAATGGAGCAGGGGTCGTCAACCCCTGGTCCGCGGCCTGGTGCCAATCTGTAGGCTTGCCAGAACTTGTCTCACCCACGGTGGGTATTTCACGCTTGCGTGGGGGTGTGTCACGCTCTCGTGCATGCGTGCAAGCGACACGCCCCCATGAGTGCAACACACCCATCACACAAGCGTGACATACCCCCGCCCCTCCACGCATGAAGCTCACTCCCCCCCCAAGCTGGTCTGCAGCCCAAAAAGGTTGAGGACCGCTGATTTAACAGGAAAAAAGTGACTAGATTAAAAGATTGGTTGGATGAAATGAGATCGATAGATCAAATGAAACAAATTTTTCAAAATAAGAATATATCATGGTTGAATGATATGCAGTTAGAAAGATGGACTAATGAATGGGTAAAGAAGCACAATAAAGGTAAAGAATGTACAAAGTATGAACGATTTCTATTATCACATGAAGATATTCAGATGAATGAGTCAGTGAAGGGTGTACTAAAATTTATAGACTTCTGTTAGATTTAGAAGAAGAAGAGATCGAGAATGAAGGATTGAATCTAGTGTGTTAACAAGATTTAGGAAAAATAAATGGTGAAGAATGGATGAAGATATGGAAAATGAGGGTTTTACAATATATGTCGGTGAGAAGAAAAAATTTTTTTTACAAAAACTAAGTGGGTTTTACAATATATGTCGGTGAGAAGAATTTTTTTTTTTTACAAAAACTAAGTTTAAGACGTTATTTGACACCATTAAAATTGAATAAAGTTAACTAATTATCTGAGTATCTGTTGGAAATGTGAGAAGGAAATTGGTACATTCTTTCATATGCGGTGGGAATGTGAAAAAGTACGAAGATTTTGGAAATTAATCTTTAAGGAATTAGCTGATATATGTAAAAGAGATATAGAATTTAATCCTGAGATAGTTTTGTTATCAATATTTGTAAATGTGGAATATGATATGACTAGAGAGTTGATTACCAATTTATTAACAACAGCCAGATTAATAATAGCCAGGAATTGGAAATCAAAACTTGAATTTCAAATGGAAAAAAGGCATAATGAAATATGGAATATTGCTATAAATGATAAATTAACTTGTAATTTAAAGGTTAAGGAAGAAGAGATTTAAAAAATAATTTTTATGATATATGGGGCAGATTTATTGAATGTGGGCTAACAAAAGGAAAAGGGAAAGTTCAAAATCAGGAATCAATTTAGTTCTGGACAAGAGGACAATAAAAGAAGACAGACAATGGAAGAAGACAACTACGGCAAGAGGTCCTGACATAGGGTAGTGGGGAACACAATTGATTTGTATTTTGGTTTATGTATTTTATGTTGTAGTTTGTAATAAAAAAGTATATAAATAAAAAAAAAATATGTAATAAAAAAGTATATAAATAAAAAAAATAGAATCAAACTCTCAGCCTCTGCAGCCAGGTACATAACACCTTTGTGCCCAAATCTTAATAAACAACTGCAGCCTGTACTCTTTTTTATAACTACCAATGAACAGAGCTCAGAAGGAATTTTCTTCTGTATAGATAAGCACCAGCTCTTTAGAAACTTGGACCCTGTTTTTTTCCACTTCTTTGAACTATGTTTCTCCCCACAGTTCCTCGTCCTTCCCTCAAAGGTCAGTCAAGGTTCATTGTACAGTATTTTTTTCATTTTACAAATGAATGCAGAGTTCCACTTCTGCTTTTCCACCCACTTAGAAAGCAAACCTTAATCGTTCTTAAAAACCAATTATTTCCAATGTGCGTGAAGCAGCAGTAGCAAACTGGATGGAAAGTGTTTGAAATATATTCTTAGGATGAGGGTTGGAGGCTGAACAGCTGACTGTCGGGAAGCAGCAGAGAGGCAGCAGCCATTTTGAAATGGGACCACATGGCTGCTGCCTCTCAAAATGGCTGTGGCCTCTCCAAAATGGCTGCCACCTCTCTGCTGGTTCCTGACACTCAGCTGTTCAGCACTAGAGTCCGGCAGTTCCCGGGCTACCAAGGAGGAGCAGGGCTCGGTCTACTTAGTCTTACTACCAGGTAAGTGACTTTTTTCCCCCATAGGAACGCATTAATTAAATTTCAATGCATTCCTATGGGAAAACTTGCTTCGCAAAACGAAATTTTCACAAGACGGCATTAACTGTGGAACGGATTAATTTTGTCTTGCGAGGCACCACTGTACATGGGAAAGCAGCTTGGCACATTAAGTAAGAATACTAAGTTTCCGAAAGGAGTGAGGTTGAAAATGGGTGTGGCCAACATCTGTTACTCCAGTTTACCAATTATGTGAACTCCCAACAGAGTGCTGTCATGTGGTGTGTGACCAGGCCAATGATAAACATTTTTGTACATTTGCAGGAGGTGTTGAATGTTTATATGTGCACTCAAGATGGAAGAAGTCTGCTAATACTGAAGCTGTTCTTTATTCATAATTGCTGCTATATGTTTTCTGTTGGATGCGTAAAACCATCCTCCGGCCATAAAAGTCTCTGTATTCCTCAGGGAGTTCTTCCAGAGTTTTCAACGCTCTGTCCAAAATCTGTACTGCTCTTGAGGCTGCAGCAAGATCTTTGTTTCCATAAGTGTCCGTCTTATCGTAACAATCAGAAGGAAGATGTTTCCAGAAAACATTGACTCCAACTCCAAATTCCTCAGAAATCACATTATGGAACCACAAAGCTATTTAAAGGAAGAAGAAAACAAGCCTTAGAAATACTGGACAAAGTCCTGTTCCATATGTTGTACCTGCAGAAGGACAATGATGTCATTGGTAGGGGTAGATTTTGGGTGGTTAAAGAAAATACCCAAAGATACTTGTGCATCTTCTTACCTGGAATAAACAAGACATCTCCTGCTTCCAGCTGGCATTCATAACGTCTGGCCCTGATGAACAGAGGATATTTCTTCAAATCTGGCATGTCCACATCTAGCACCTCTGATTTTGTGCCTAATGAAGAGCCAAGGCACAGCTGACATTACTGTTTCTGTTAAGTAGCATTGCAACAGCCAAAATACAACTATTCAGGCTTTCTAGAAGGCAGGGGAAGTATGTGTTCACAGAAACAAAATCCTACATGACAACATCTGCAAAGTTCAAGGTTGCTTGCAACAGACCTACTTATATCCTGTCAAATGGTCTCCGGGAAATTGTGCCTCACAAATTATTTTCCATTGAGTTACCTCACTAATACCCAATGAGTGGAAGTCTGGGTCTGTCTCACTTAACTATATTTTCTGTTTTCCTTTTTAAAGTAGGAATACCTAAAAGCTGTGTATCCAATTAAAATAGAGTGTGCTACGCTCTACAGTAATGTGTAGCACTGATTTTTTTCTCAAAGGCATGCAGAAAATTGGCATGTGTAAAAAAATTGATGAAAAGCATTCTTAAACAACATGACCAAGAACATGTCTTTTGACAACAAATTAGCATACATTCTGTAATGTTGATCTAGAGCTCATTAATCTTTCAAATTCGTTGGCTCTTGTCTTATTTAGCCTTTAGTCTTATTTTAAAATGCCAGCCAAAAGCTCTTTGGAAATGTCAACAAGTACATGGATTGGAATCATCTGGTAGACACTGGCCAGAAATTCTCTAAGCAACCCAAGTTGAGATTGGTGCTTTTCAGTTCATTCATACATGGTACAGAACAGGCTATGACTAGTAAAGTTTAATGTTTGCCGATAACATGAAGTTATTTCAGATTGCAGTTTTGAAGAACTCCAAGGGGTTTCTAAAAAGTAAGGCAACAAATTAAAAACAAGGGAAACATATCGGTGGAAATAACTTCACATAAGTGCAGATGAGGTCTCAGGTGGCACTGGCTAATCAGGTGTGCAGACACGACTTGTTCACCATTGTATTTTGGCGTAAATTTTAACTTCCCCAAGCCAGCTAACTACCTAAACCAAATTATAGTACCGAGATATCACTTTGCCTTTTCAAGGGCTAGCTTTAATTGCTTTTCCTCAGCCCTTTTAAAATGATGTTTTAATAACATACCACATGGTGAAAGGTTCTTTCCCTGTGGGATACAAATTACTGAGACCTTGGCGCTCATCATTTTAGAATGTAGCTTACTGTATTTTTCCGTGTATAAGACGCCCCGTCTTTTTCTAACCGAAAATCTCTTTCCTCGCAAGAAAGTGGAGGGGGAAGGCAGGGATCAAAGCGCTTTGATTCCTGCTTTTCTCCCTCCGCTTTCTTGCGAGGAAAGTGCTTTTCCTCTCTGCTTTCTTTGGAAAAAGCTGTTCTCCCCTGTCAGACAGTAGGCGAGAGGGATACCCCACTAGCTGGAGAGCTGTCCCTCCTCCACAACGAGGATAAGCAGGCAAGACCCCAGCCAGCACCAGAGCCTACGGAGAAAGCTCAGCAAGGGACAGAAATAGAGGAACTGAGTGAAGAGATAAAGAAAATAATGATGGAGGAGGTTCAGGAGGAAAAGGTGGGAAAGGAGAGGAAAAAGAGGGTGAGGTTTGAGAAAGGACCAGGGGAGGTAAAAAGGAAGGAAGGGCAGTTGCCGCACAGTTGGGAATGGGTGTGGATGGAGGATCCCTGGACAGGATTATGGGAGAAGCTAAGAGTGCCTAAGGAGGAGGCTGATTATAGAAGGAGGATTCCACCCAGACCCTCTTATTGGGGAGAAGTCGAGGTGAGAGAGTGGAGGAGGAGATTGAGAGAGGAGAGAGAGCTGAGATAGACTAGAGTGAAGAATAAGGGAGATGAGGAGGAAGAGTTACAGGGAGGACCCTGGGAGAACTGAGACCCTGAGAGACGAACCCTGTGGAATGACGATAGGGATGACGAGACCGTGCCCTTGCTGGAAGGTTCGATGGGGCAAACCATAAGAGACTGGGTCCCTTCAGATTTCCCGGGACCATGAAACACTAGTTGTGGAAATCCGTTCCTGTTTGAAGATTGGAAACCCCTTAGGGACCCGTTGGCAGAAGGAGAAAAGCCTCAAGATCATATTACGGACACTTGTTTATTGTTGAGTGCACCAATAAATCTTTCACCTGTTTTGAAGCAACAAAAATCCACTAATTTCTTTGAGCCGAACATGGAACCAAAAGCTGACGCCTCACATCTCCCTATACAGTGGTGCCTCGCTTAACGATGTTAATTGGTTCCATAAAAAAAATCGTTATGTGAAAACATCATTAAGTGAAACACCATTTCCCATAGGAATGCATTGAAAACCGGTTAATCCGTTCCAATTGGAACAGATTAATGCTTGCAATCATTAGCCTACCTCCTGAAACCTATGCAAACTTAATTTGTTGTTGTTCTGAGTCGTTGTTAATTTTTGGTGATTTTTTTTATTCTCCATTGAAAGCCTTTGAACGGACCATTCAAAGGCTTTCAATGGAGAATTAAAAAAATCACCAAAAATTAACAACAACTCAGAACAACACCAAATTAAGTTTGCATAGGGTTCAGGAGGTGGGCTAACGATTGCAAGCATTTAAAACAGGTTTCTAACAGTTTAAGACACTTTTACAGGAGCGAAAAAGGGACATCGTTAAGTGAAATTCCCCCATAGAGAACATCGTTAAACGATGGGGGAAATTCCTCAAAGAAACCCATCGCTGTGTGAATTCATCGTTGTATGAAGCAATCGTTGTGCGAGGCACCACTGTACTTTTTGCAACGAAAGTGTAGAGGGAAAGCAGATTTTTGCAACAAAAGTTTAGGGGCAAAGTAGGAATCGCTTTCTCCCTACACTTTTGTAGCAAAACATGGAGGGGGAAAGCAGGGATCAAAGCATTTTCATCCCTCCCCCCTCCATACTTCTGTGTACAAAATGACCCTCAATTTTTCCTGTAATAATTTTAGGGAAAAGTGTCGTTTTACACACGGAAAAATACAGCATATAGGAATGAACATATTCGACATCTCAGTTCAATCATGAGTAAACTGGGTCCCTTGTTGGGAGAAATGCAGCATATAAATAAAACTAATAAATAATAAATAAAATTAATGTTCTACTCTACCTCCCACAGGCTATCTGAAGTTTCTGCTGTCTAGAGAGAATAAATAATAACAATTAGTGGCTAAGTTTTTTCAGATATGAGAATTCGCAAAACACTATAGCAAGATTTTATACTATACTATGTATTTATTCTATGTATGTATTTTTGTTTGTATAATCGGGTCTATGACCGCATAATAAAACTTACCTTACCTATTTAAAAATGTTTAAATTACAGGAGAATGTGGTTTGGGCCTCCAGATATTTCGGTCATCAGCTCCCAGAAGCTCCAGTCAGCATGACTAATGATAGGAGTTCATGGGAGTTGTGGTTAAAAACACCTGGAAGCCCAAAGGTTCCCCAGCCCCAAATTAAAGCGAATGGTTACCTACATCATAATGTGTCCAAAGCTGCAATCCTGCTGAGCTTATGCGGAAGACAGTAGAAAAGAGTTGCTCTTTTTTAAAATATTCTGGAATCCGAATATCATCTGCCAGCAGAGGAAACTGTTTCCTGAGATCCGCAATATCCTAAAACAGTAAGAAACCATATTTATGTCTCCCTCATACAATAGGATCCTCTTATCCATAGGATCATTATCTGCTGATTCACTTATCCGCAATGTGAAAATATTAAAAGAAACCCCCCTATACTTCTAACTAGATCATTATCTGCTGATTCACTTATCCACAATGTGAAAATATAAAAAGAACCCCCCCCCATACTTCTAACTAAGAGGGGACCAGAGACCATGCTATAGATAGCATTTGATATTATAATAGTACTGCTATAAACTATGTTTTCCTGTATCCACTGGGGGCCCCCCTCAGAACTGAATATGGATATGGGGGTCTTACTGTAGTATCAGGTTAATGAAAAATAGGAAAACCTCAGGTCCCAACAAACACACACAAGCATGGCCTCATTCCTCTCTCTCAAATAAGAAGCATAAAAGGAAAGATTCTGTCAGTAGTTCTTACTGTCTCTGTACTTGAGACATAAATCACCATGGGTTGGTCAATGAGGCAGCTAAAACCCACTGATAATCTGATTTATCAAGTCACAGCACCCAGATTTCTTCAAACATACCTAGGAGCATCAGTGAAGTAAACACATACAGTTATCTTGAACACCTTGTGCATTTTTTTAAAACTCTAAAGTGCACCTTCAACTCTAAATTCTTCAGAAACTGGCACTTTCTTTTGACAAGAAAGGCATGAGCATGTTAGAAGCAGCAGGGGTATGTGGTTAGAGTCAGCCCAGTTGACCCTCATGTTTCTAAAGGTGACTTCTTTTTACTAACACAGCTTGCACATTTTTAAAACCTCCACAAGAACGATATGAATCAGGAGGTTTTAGGGTAAGAAAAACATCTCGGGCATCAAGTTTCCTGCCTCCTTCGTCTTAAGAACAAACAAGGGGGATGAAAAAAAATGTAACTGAGTTTGTTTTTGGTGAGAACATCCAAAATTCATAAATTTCTTCTTATTCTGGTTAGAAGGAAGTTGAGATTGAAAAGAACTGAATGGACTTTGAATGCAGGAGACAGTGAAACACGTTCATCGATCCCTTCAGATCAGAAGGACTGATAACTTCAGCATGGCAAAGAGCATTTTTCAGATTTACTAGCAGGCTAAGGACTGCACTCCTTAATTTACGTATTTAATTTTGAACTTTTTAAAAAATCTGTTATATTCTATAAAGACTGTTTGTTGCAATAAGCTTTTACATTCTATAAAGATTACTAGAGTCTAGAGGCAAAACAGGACTCTATAAGCAAAAATATTTTTCCTTCCCTCCACGCATTTTTGAGGACCCGGGGAGGGGGGTGAGCTGAAAGGGCCAAAAAACGCACCTGTGCAGACATAGGCAGGCCACAGGTTACATCCTGCCCATCCTTGATCTAGACAGAAGGCTCTTAGAATCTGTATGCAACCATATTTGTGGTGATCCTTTCCATACTGTAAATAGATACGTAATGATTTTGGCCAGGGAAGAGATGTAAGAGGCATCACAACAGAGATTTTTTAAAAATGAGAAGGAAAGCTTACAGGTTCATCCATCCTGAACACTCCAATCATCTGCGCCAAATCAAAGAGGGCTGAGTGAATGCTTCTTCTCACATTAGATTAATGTTGTGTCTTGCCTTCCACTTAGGCTTACATTTTCAAAAAACAAACATGAAGGTCTATGCTTGGATGAGTTGCACTTCGGACTGCAAAGCAACAAACTGGCACACTTTTAAGACGAGCCTTTAAGTTACACACCTTTCGTGGGTCTTCTCCCAGGGATCGCAAATAGTATTTCTCATCCTGAAAAACAAACATGCAAAGGATTCACTGCACACACTTGTCTTATTAAGGCTGCCAAACACTGGCACTTCCGTGAACCAAATAGCTTGTCAATTTCCACCTGATTTGCTGGCAACAGTTCTTCCATCATTGTGAACAAACTGAACTATGAAGAAACAACAAAAATATTGCTCAGCATGAAGAAACTCCAGAAGCAAAGTGATGGATGATTACTCACTAATTTAGATTTGACGCCAGTGCAGTCCTGAAGTCTGGGGCCAGAGAGTCAAGGCAAAACAAGAATAGAGTAAAACCTAATCAAGCCGGCTGATAATTTCCCACTCTTTCCTAACTTCCCCATGAGCTTCAAAGAACAGCCTGAACACTGGAAAGTGCTTATAGTGTATCAGTCAGTCTCTGCCAGAGGTTTCTCAGCTGTGTTGCTGATCCTTTTGAGATACCAGAGAGTTTATCAGTCTTTAAAATATATGCAGGCTCACTTACATTGTGAGGGCACATGTTGCACTAAGCAATGCAATCTATTCCTTGCCTATTCCTTGTCATAAACTGGATTGATTAACCCAGGCCTCCCTAATGTGGTGCCTCCCAGATGAGCTACACCAGGACTCCCACCATCTCTAAATGTTATGACTGCGGAACGCAGGATTCATACCAATAGAAACATGCATGGGACTGTCAGCATCACGTAGCTCTTATTTAAGTTATTTAATTTGAAATCTCTAATTTATGCTACCTTCAATTACAGCTGTGTCCCCACTGCCCGCACCCCTGGAGCCAAATTTTAACGTAATTAGTTAATAATTCATACACATACCTCTGAAATAAAGAACTCTGCATGTTTGGCTTCAGCTGCTCTTCTCACAAATACGTCAAAAGGCAATGTTCTGAAATTTAAATGTTTAGATTTTCAGTGTGGATCTTTTACTCTGATGGGGAATTTTGGCACCATGCCAATAATCACCACAAAACACTGGAAACATTGTATTTCCATTTAATCTTGCTGACATCACTGGATGTTACTTAAGGTCAGTTTACATGTAAGCAGAGAATTGCTTGACTGCTTATATTGTACTTACGGTAAATTTTTGGTTCTTAATGACTCAGTCATGCTATTATAAAGTAGTATGTCACCCTGAATCTTACTGGGCCTACTTCCAAGGATTTGGTCACTAGGCCTACTGACTGCATTGGAACTAATTACAAGCACCCAATTTGTGGTCTTCGTTTATGCCAGTGGCATTACATAAATGCTTTCATGTTCCTTGACGCTGATCAGTCTGAACAGGAACCCCAAGCCCTTTATGTTCCTTCTCATGTGTGAATGGGTCACTGGCTGGACTGCGAGAAAAGGATCAGTGTTAAGAGTGGAGAAATTTCACAGGCAAGTGATAATAGACAATTGGGCAAACTGGATTTTGGTGATTACATCATCCTGTTCAGTTCACTGGTAAAAGGGGCATAATTATTCACAGCCACAGAAGAACAAATAGGTCTTTGTATGAAGGAACAAGAGTAAAGAATGTGCCGACTGGGTTTTAAAAAGCAGTTCCAACAATTCAGGAAAAATCTGCAAAGTGTAACCTTCAAAAAACATGAGAGATTCAAACAAAAAGCGCTAATTCATAAATCTGTGCAAATTCAGAATTTGAAAAATATCCCAAATTCAAGGGAGCATAAAATAAAAGTTAGAGAGAGAGAGAGAGAGAGAGAGAGAGGTGCAGTTGGGTGTAATTGCCAGATATTAATATTATACAAAACATCAGTCAATAAGTCTCTAAAATGTAGAGCATGGAGTAAGACTTTTAAGTAAGTAACTTACTCTCTTATCATTTTCCTTCTTCCCCAATACCTCTAGTTCAGTGGTTCCCAACTTTGGGTCCCCAGAAATTCTTGGACTAAAACTCCCAGAAGCCTTCACCACTAGCTGTGCTGGCCAGAATTTCTGGGAGCTGCAGTCCATCTGGGGATCCAAAGTTGGGAAGCACTGCTCTACAGAGTAAGGCGTGAAATGAAATACCTATATACAAAATTCTTTTTGAGGAAATCCATCTGTGGCACAGTGGACACATGAACCTTTACTTCTTTATTTCCTGTTACTTGACTGAGGTAATCCACTGTCCATTTGGTCATGCAGGGGCCCAAATCAATTCCTTTTAACACTGCAGGCTTTCTCTGAGAATGAGAAGAAAACAAACAAACAAACAGAATTACTGCACAACATATTATTTGGCTGCTATTTTACCAGCTTTTCCTCCCATCAGCATAAACAAAGTACAAACAGTTGTGACAAACTGTAGGACAAACTAGTGTAAAGATAGCACTCAATGGAAATGCGCAAACATGTACTGTATTTCAAACTGTACATATGTATTAAATGGAGAACCCACTTCAAGATACTTTATTAGATTAGTGTCAATCTGAACAGTTTAGATTGTAGTTTTAGGGATTTTCTAACAAAGTACCCTGTGATGCATGTTTTAATTCCTATCTATTACCCGTTCCTGTTCTGTCCCGGCAACAAGAAATTGAGGAAAAAATTGTCATTTGCCTATATCTGATGAATTAATGAATTTGTAGACTTGTATAGCCCAATTATAAGCATGCAGGCTTGGAAGCAGGTCCCACTAGACTGAACAGAACCTTGTTTCCAGGGAAGCACTTACAGGACAGCAGGCTTAGCCTCAGCCTTAAGAGTTCCAAATCACAGCTGGCCTCAAGACTTAACATCTCTACATAGTAAAGTACAGTGGAAAGACAGCAAGCAAAGCTGGCAGATAAGTAAGCAGGGGATCCAATTACAGTATTAAGAAAGCACATCTGAAAAACCAGTTTGAAATTTGCTCAGAAGTGGAAGTTAATGCAAGAAAAAAAGAAACTGTAACAATCATTTTCTCTAGTATTTTTCCTCACAATAATGATATTGTCTGAAGATACCCATGAACAGCTCTTTTTCCATGTGGTAGATAGGGGACAGCTATAAGCACAGTAAGTGGCCATTTGCACTCTAGTCTTCTCAGCTATAAGTACAGTACTAGAAATTTGTTCCCACAGACCTTATTTGATGGAAATAGAAAACACAAATCTACAAGTACTAAAGGAGCAACCCAGGATGGATTTTTGAGTCAGAAACCTAGGGTCCCCCTCTGCAGACTAAATCAAAACATGCATTACTCCCTAAGGGTGGCTATTTAGGATCACTAAATCCTGACACACACACACACACACCCTTCCATTAAAATAAATAAATCCAGAACCTAGCATTCTCATCCACAAGGAGAGGCAGCAGGGGGTCCTCCACCTATCTCCGGACTACAACTCCCATCACCTCTAGGACGGGCAGCCAGCCGTCTATCTAGGAACGGCACCTGTTTCGACCGCCCACCCTTGACCGGCAGACACGATGCCGAACCCCGGACTCGGGTGTTTTTGGGGCACCGTCTCGGGAGGGTCTCAGGGCAGGAAGGGGGCATCCCCGGCTGGGTCGTCCGAAACTAGCACGAAGGCGTCTCTGCGTTTCCTCGTCTGGCTGCAGGTGGACCGTCGGGGAGGGGGGGGGAGGAACACCCGAGTTCGACCGCCCACCCTTGACCGGCAGACACGATGCCGAACCCCGGACTCGGGTGTTTTTGGGGCACCGTCTCGGGAGGGTCTCAGGGCAGGAAGGGGGCATCCCCGGCTGGGTCGTCCGAAACTAGCACGAAGGCGTCTCTGCGTTTCCTCGTCTGGCTGCAGGTGGACCGTCGGGGAGGGGGGGGGAGGAACACCCGAGCGGTACCTACTCGAGGGTAAATATCCTGCAGG